CCCATGTCAGCTGCCTTGGACACATCTTTTTCTTTCTCCATCCTTGACATTTTCTCATCTGCATCAGCCAAAAAATTACCACCAGCCTTTCCAGTTTCCGCCTTCCTCTTGGCAATCCTTTCCTCCAATTCCAAAAGCTTCTGCTTAGCAGCATGCTTCCTCCTTTCTTCCTCCATAAACAACCTCCGTCTCTCCTCTTCCCTGGCTACTCTCTGCTCTTCAGCTCTTCGCATGGCTTCTAGTTGTTCTTGTTCTGCTCTCCACGCTGCTTCCCTAGCTTCTTCCTCCAACCTTCTCTGCCTCTCTACTTGTTCCCTAGCCAGACGCATTCTCTCCTCTTCTTCTCTTCGAGCTAGCTCTAAAGCTCTTTCTTGTTCCTCAACAATCCGCTGTCGCTCCTGTTCTTGCATTTTCTGAACTCTCTCAAGTTCGGCCTCAAAAGATTCCCTAACAGGATCATGGAAATCAGTTTGTTTAATCACATCTTTCTTCTTCTTAACCACTCCGAGAAGACCTCCAGAGAAGGGATCCCGGCTGTCAAAACCAGTACCTCCAAAGTCTTTCATGAAAGGATCCTCTACATAAGGTTTTTCACTATTTGAGAATGAGCGCTTCTCCCTACCAAAATTGAGCAGGGGATCATTGACAGGAAGTCCTTTACCACCTAGCGAGTACGAGGGTTTGGACACTGAACTATTCTGTAAAGCATCACCTCTGTATCTATTGTGTTGTTCACTGCCATATCGGTCTCGTTTATTCCATTCAACCCCTCTGCTTGCATATGAATCCGTATAATTGTTCCAGGGCTGTCTCCCTCCATGTCTATACCCTACATCCCTCCTTACAAAATCATCTTGAACATTTTCTTGAACGGTTGTCAGACTATACTTGTTCTCCTTACTTGTTTCTCTGTTTACACTTGATGGCCTTGCACCAAAACCATTTCTTTCATTTCCAACTTGACCACTAATTCCATCTTTTGGAAGATTGGTATTTCTCCACGAGTTCCCTTCCCTTCCTTCTCTGCTAGGTGTTCTTGCATCTCTGCTGTATGGGTCCACCTTAGGGACTTCACTGGAAGAATTCTTTCCAGCTTCATTGTCATGCAGACCCCGCCTATCAGAAGGATTATGAACTGGCTTGTGTGGTAGAACACTTATTCTGGGCATATCAAAATCTCTATCCCAATAAGCTTCAGTCTTTGAGAACCCATGATCTCTGCCCCGGTCTGTGAAACCATGACTTGTATCACGCTCATCATCCGCCCAATCTGATCTTGGGTTCAACCAAACTAGTGGTAATGGACCTGGAAAATACTCGTCCTGCTTCCTTACTTGCTCTGATGCTCGATTACCACCCAAACCCTTACTTTCACTGCCACTCTCATTCAGTCCATTGCCCATACCACGACGAGACGGCTGCACTTGAGGGCGCATGTCAACAAGCAAAGTTGAATGAGAACTATCCCTCTGCTCATTCAACAATTCATCACGGACAACTTGCCTCTGTTTCTGATTCAAACCGTCCTTTTGCTTTTGTGAAGGCCCTGATGAAGAAGGCAAAGCAGCCTGCAATGAAGGAAAATCCTCACCCCTCAAGAGCAGTGCTTTCTCTGTCGGTTGATGAGATAGAGCAGAAGCAGTAGGGAGAGGTCCCACTGAGCCAGACCGGGCTGAAGGTGGCATATAAACACTGGTCCCCGAACCGTTCCCCCTACTCACCCCATCAACACCATGCAAAGCCTGGTCAACTCCATCAGCTCCTACATGATCACCAGCCCCTTCTTTCTCTTGCAAAGCAACCGCGGTGGGCTTCGTCCACCCCACACCGGATGAAGAAGGCCTTGACCCACTACCTGAAGCCCCTCCACCGGCAGCTCCACCACCTGAGCCCAACGAATCAAAGCGCTCGTGCTCTTTGCGCAGCGAAGGCAGATTCAAGGGGGGTGGAACAGATAGCTTCGACCCAGCCTTGTTAGCACTGCGAGGCCTCGAAAGGACCACCATTCCTCCACTGCCATGACTACCGGGCCGGCCCCTGTTCGACCCGTAAGAGCTAGGATGCGGTGGATGGTGAGAAGGCTGCCCATACGATTTGTTCAGATTCACGGATACAAACTTGGTCCCGACTCCGGGATTAGCCATGTCACGCGCCTGACCCACACTACGATCCAATTAGCGGGCTCTGATGTCCGCCAACGCATCAAAAACCCTAACCCTAACTTTCTGCTCCCGCCCGCCCAGATATTGAATCACACACTGTTCCCCTTTCACGGATCTCACAGTAAATGATAAAAGAATCGAAACCAAACCCTAGAGAGTCTCCCTCTAACCCTGATCAATCAAAACATTAATTATCAGATAATAGATCTCGTAGCTCGATTAATTTAACTAATTAACTTATAATGCTTGCTAACAATATCAGATTAAAGTGCGATTAGGGTCTGATTAGGGTTTCAGTGCGAGCGACTTAATGAGATCAAATGGAAAATGAAAAATGGAAAGGGAGGAAGTAGGATAACGAGCTTACCTCCGGGAGCGTAAGATAGAGAACGGCGGGGTTAACGTGCGCCGCGGAGAAACAACAGTGCGAAAGTGTAAGATAGAAGAAGCCCTATTGTCACCGGAAAGAAAAAAAAAGCAGGAGAGGGAGAGGAGAGAAGAGAGAAGAGAGGAGAGAGAAAAAAAACCGAAAAATGAGCTAAGCAAGAGAGGAGAGGAAACTAAGGAATGGTTTTTTGGTCTTCTTGTTTATTCCCCTTCATTTTGTGATATTTGTATTTATACCCCCACATACTTTTGTGATTTTGATTAATCGCCTACTTCTACCTGAAGGCTAAAAGCAAATATCTTTTCAGTTGTACGGACACCGTTGAAATTAAACGTGCGAGTGGGATGGATTTGGACCCCCTTTTTTTTGTGAGAAGTTGGGAAACAAGTACTAAAACAGTCGGTACCTTTGTGTTTCTGTATTTGAAGGCAAATACAAGAGTAGCTTTGTCTTTGACTTTCTGACTTCTTCATTTACCATTTTTATTAGCTTCTTTGTTTTGTTGTATGTATGGAAGTCAGCTCTAAGCTTGAATCATGTTATGTGGATGAGTCATACCAAAGTAGTACTCCTGCCCATTTGGGTTAAAACCCGGATTGGGTTCGGGCGGATTTGTGTGGGTTGACCTAACCCGAGTTGCCTTGTACTTACAACTATCCAAAATTATATGGTAAATTGGATAGGTTCTATCTATAGTCATTGGGGCCTCCTAAAAAGATCTACTAAATTCACTGAGTTGTTCCAAAGAATCAAAACGGCCAGTTATTAATGGAATTCCTTGTCGGCTTTTTGTAAAATACTTATTTGGACGAGGGCTTCCAAATACATCGTAAGCTAAACCTGTGCTAACGAAAAACCAATCTGCAATAAATAAGGAAGGTATAGTAATGCTATGAATGACCCAGTATCGAATACTGGTAGTAAATAACATCAATCTTTTCCTTTAGTCTTTGGTCTTGCGAAATTTCCTCTCAATATTACAAAATGTCATTATGTGCTTTCCTCTCGATTTTATGAAGTTAATCAATGGCTTAACCACTATAGAATTCTTAGTGAGCACCATATTAGAATCTCATTAGTCTCACAATAGTATGTTATTGTTTGTTTTTACAAAGTCATCGTCAACAAACTTTTATGTAGTTCATTGTACCTTATTGTGTAGTTAATGCACTTAGATGGGAATGACAAATTCACAGGAAACAATTGTCACCATATAGTTTTGGAAATGAGCATTTTGATTTCCCCAAATTAATGGAATGAACATTTCCAAACCTAGAGGTGATTTATCAATTTCATTCATACAATTCACTTGTGCTCATAGCTCTAGACTCTAAGTTCTAAACCTTGAACTAGGCTAGACCTAGTTAAGTTTCACTTTCACCAAAACTTCATCTTCTTCTTGAAACTTCCTTTTCTTTTCCTTCGACCCAAAAACCTTTTCTAAAGCTATTGCAAACTTTTTTTATTCCAGGGGTTTCCCCTGGAATCATCTCCTTTCGGCTAATTAACCGGGCCTCTCTCCCCCGTCATGTTGTGGAGAGTTTTCCCTTTAGTTTTTTGCTAACCTATTTCTCCCTTGCCTATTTGGCAAGTTTTGTCTTCCCCCTATGCTTTTAAGGACTACTACTCAGCCTTTTGGGCTAATTTTGCTTGATATTGGTAGATCTCCACCTTTACCTTTTGTTTGTACTATTGAAATTTAAGGGTTTGGTGGTAGCTATTCTAAGATCTTTCTATGGAGGTGGAGTTGGTGGATCTGGTATGATTTACTATCCTTTGGTGTTGTGGGATCGTGAGTGGTGCTGGAGATACTGTGACTTCCTATGAAAGTCAAGGTGGAATTTGAGTGGTAAGTGCTCTTTAATTTTTTGGTGTTTCCAGTCCTAAAGATGCTTCAGAGTTGGTTATCCACACGATCTCTGTTCAGCACTGATTCATGAGTTCTTATGGACCCTCTCATCTTCAACTATGAGTGAGTTAGGGTTTAAATACATATGGAGTTTGCTCATTGTTCTTGCACTGGTTGTATTTTATTATTTATATTTACACTTTCTTGTTTGCAATAAGCCTTCTATAAGGCAGTGTTCTTCATGTGTAATCTTGTAATTGTCTCTCATATTAACGCATCTATTCTATTCTCAAAAGAAAGAAGAAAAAAAAAAACACTAGGCTAGACCTAAGTAGTAAACAATATGCTCTAAAACCAAACATGATACCAATCCCAACTTCAATCACCTTGAGCCTTGAACTCTAATCTTGGACTTTGAGCCTCGAAACTCTAGTCCAATTCTAACATTTTGGGCCTAGTGTATGGCCCTTGACCCAAGCCTCAACACTAGGCCCAAACAATTTTGTTTTCTTCCTATTCCTTACAGAAAGTTTTCATTGATGGGCTAGCATCCATACTGGGGCAGTATAATGTATGACCCATAGTTTATAGCATCACTGTATGTTTCTGAAAAATAACCGAGAATATACCAAGCGGATTTTCCATTGAAAACGAAGGGGAAAAGTGAGACAGTTTGGTCGAACTTCGACGCAATGGCGATGGATGCCATTGAAACCCCCTCTCCTCCCTTTCACCCCCCTTCTTCCCATTTCAGGTTTCATTCATTTTCCTTTTCCTTTTATTAATTTATAATTTCTCTTTATGCTTAATTTTCTTGTACAATCTTCCATTTTTGCTCACAAGACCAAGTTTTGGTTGCAGTCAACAACGCCACTTCTATCTCGCCGTTGACAGGCTCCAGTTCAAGATGGTCTCTTTCTTCACTTCCCCTTATAAATAATTGTGTTTATAATTAAAGAAAGTGAAATTGTAAATTGAATTGGGCAGGAGACATTGATGGACCTGTTGGGCGTGGCGGGTAGGCGTCCCTGCCTACCTATAGTGGTCTGCTGCAGCTCACGTGATGAGCTCGACGCGGTCAGCTCCGCCGTCGCCAACGTCCCCTATATCTCTTTAGCTTCTCTGGTACACACTTACTGGCCATTCATAATTTTTATGGATTTAACTTTGTTCCATGGGTTATTAAGAATGCTTTCTAGTATCGTTAACTCATAACTACTTGCAAATTTTCTTACCATTAGATTATTAAATACACAAAAGGGCATAAGTTTTGGAGCATTTGCTTCACAGAGATTGGAAAAATTAGGAGCACTTGAACTAGATTTTCAACTACATACTTGGGGTTGTTGCTGACCTTGGATGGGGTAAAGAATTAAACTTGTTTAAAGTTGCAAACTTGTTTCTAACAATTAAAAGGATTTTGTGCCTTTCAAGGCATGATATTTCGTTTCTTTTAAGGCAGTTTCTATAGTTATGTCATGAACATGCCCAGCGCCATTACCCATGTTTGGAGACATTGAAACTTGGAACTCCCCTATACTGTTAACGTTTCCTAATTGGTCTGCGTGTGATATCTTGTATCCCAGTACACTGACCTTGCTGAAGCAGACCGTTCTTTGATATTAGAGCGCTTTCGGGAAGCAACAATGAGGTGGAACCCAGAAGCCAGTGCTCAACCAGCGGATGACAATGAGCCTGTGAAAGATGAACAAAAATCTCATATGATAGTTGCAACAGATGCATGCCTTCCACTTCTTGCTTCCGGGGAGTCACCCATTTCTGCTCACGTTCTTATAAATTATGAGTTGCCTACAAAGAAGGTGCACTTCTCCTTCTTCCTATTGGACTTATAATGTTCTGCAACTCTTGTGCATTTGACTCTATTATGGTAACTGTTAGATATTCCTATTTCATTTTAGATGTAGACTGCACATTGTTAGATTAATGACATGTGATCTTGCTTCACTGTTTTCAAATTGTTTGATTACAAGATGCTTTTGAGGTTAGTGCATTGAGAATACTAAGACCATAACCAAACAACTGAAAACTTTAGATAAGTTTTTCTAGTTGTGTTGTGCTTAAATTTCAGATTGCAAGGGTTGCACTCTTTCGCCAGTTCATTGGATGGTTCTTATAAACTCTGCTTCATTCCATGGATCTTAAGCATTTTAAGAATGCTTCCTTATGTTCTTTATCTGCATCTAGGAGATTCCAAGCTTCCATGAGAAGGGAAGCATGTTTTTGTCATTCTCAAGTTTGATTTCTTATTGTTTGTACTTCTTTAATTGGCTGTTTTTGTACCGTGCGTTGTGGTACTTTTAGAGTTACTGGTTATATGCCATCCTCATTCTCAAGGTCGCTGATCATTGCCAATTTTATATTCTGACAGTAGTTATCACCTGTGTGCATGTGTTTGCTTTGCTACCGTAACGAATGTTTGTTTTTGTTTCTTACCTGACAATATTTTCTGCAGGAAACATATATGAGGCGTTTGACGACTTGTTTGGCTGCAGGTTCTTCCTAGCTGTACTGCTTTGTTGGTTGCATAGTATGGGATTCCCCGGTCTTGCAATAACTTCATATAATATGTGCAGATGGGATTGTAATCAATATGGTTGTTGGGGGTGAGGTAGTTACTCTCAAAAGCATTGAAGAAAGTAGCAACCTGGTCATAGCTGAGATGCCCATAAATGTAAGTTCACCCCCTTCTCAATGTTTCCTCATTTCATTTTGTCCTCCTGTTTGATACATAGACACTCAGTTTCCTCATCCCCTATAAATAAATAATAATAAAAAACAAAGATAAAAAGACAGATAGATGGACACTCAGTTTGATATGATATATGATTCATGGTATTGCAGATTTCTGAGATTTTATGAAGGCATATGATCTGCTATGCCGGCGGACATGTTAAAGGACCAGATGAGATCCCTTGTACTCACTCTTGTATTTGGTTGAAGCATTTGAACGTGATCTGGGTGCGTTTTGAGGAAGTTTCAATCATATCAAATTTATACTGATCTTGTTCTAAAAAAAAAAAAAAAGATAAAAATTTATACTGATCAAACCCCCATGACCCTGGACATGGTCTTTTTCTGTGTATTTATGGAGTTACTTGAAGTTGGGCCAGTAGGATTCCATCTTGTCTAAGCCCAATTAAAGAATTTTCCATCTTTCCCAAGCTTTCAATTTGAAAAGGGTTTCTATCACAATGCGCTTGAGTTCACGAAACTATCAGTTTTAGTGCACATCAAATTTTTTCAATGTTGTTCGATTCCGTCAAACAATCTGTAAGTTTGCAGCCCCTTAAATCTCATCTAATAATTTTCTAACAAGAAAATGACATAAATCTCGATTCTTTTCCCAAGGTTTCACATGAGTGGGCGGGAGATATCATGGGACTCATGTAGAGCTCACCCAATAAACCACACAATTGAAGCTTTTCAATTCATGGCAGAAAGTTGTATTTTTTGTGTGGCTTTTTTTAACACGAAATTGAAAGTCATATATGAAATGCAGATGGTGTCCATTGGATTGTGCGTGGTGCCATCTGGCTGCAGTGCTCCAAAAAGAAAGAGATGAGACCGTAGAAAGAACATTGGTTTTAGGCTCGCCCATGGTAGAAATTGATGACAATTCTTATCTGTTTTGCTGCTGGTTTTTATTCTCAAACAGGAGAGAAAAAGAATAAAGAGATATATAATTAAAGAGGACATTGTTGTTCGGTTGTACGCATTTGTCTCGTTCTTTACGTTCATCATTACACACCAAAACAATAGGCGCTTGGAGCAGCTTTTCCCTGAAACAATATGCTCATTACTTCTTGCCTACTTACCTTGTAAGGAGATACTCCTCATTCTTGCGAATTACAGTTTGATATATATGCAAAAATAATTCATAAAAAACACAAAAAAAAAAAAAAAAAAACTTATGCACACATCACATTGCTATTGGCAGAAATGTAGGAGCTCCTACTTACATGATAAGGAGAGCAGTATTTTTATTAATATAGGATTAATTTGAAATAGAATACAAGTTCCCGGTGAACCTATTTAATTATACATACTAAAACATAATGAATTACTTGGTCTATTTCTTATAAATATATTTTCAAATAAATGAATACTTAAGAATAAAGTAGATAGACTTTTATATGTCTCATGGTCAAGAAAAACTTAAATGTAAACCGGGATGTTAACGTGGTGGTATCCCAAGTATATTATGTATTGTCATATCGGAAAGTTAAAATACGTATCAATACATGGTTTGAGAACCGAGCGTACGTGAGAATAAAGTAAATAAACTTCCTTTATCTTTGCTTATATATAAAAGTGACTTGATTTTTCCATTCCTCTTTTCTCCTTAACTTAACTGTGTATATATTAGCAGCCCTTTAATTAAATAGTTATTTGATAACCAATAAATGTCTGTAAACAAATCTAACAATGTTCTCTTAAAGAAAGAAAAAAAGAGGACATGTAAATAGGCTATATAGCAAAGTTTAGCATGAAAAAAAAAAAAAAGATTTTCCAGATAATATTATCATGCATGAAAAAAAAAAAAAACCCCTAAGTTCCAAAAAAAAAAAAAAAATTACAAATTTATAAATAAACCCAATCCTAGACATGTATTTATAAAAAAACCCAAGCACTATTTAAACATAGAAACACACCCAAAATCAACTCCAAAGTCAACTTTTTGGGTGTGTTTATAAATGGGTTTTGAGTGTGTGTAATGATAGGTTTTAGGTGTGTTTATATGTTTAAATAGTGCTTGAGTTTTTTTATAATTTCAACCCCCATTTTGGGTGTTTTAGTGAAACTCCAAAAAAAAACCTAGGTTCGAGAGTTCGGCTCAGTCTTGGAGAAGAAAAGTAATCTCCTATGTTGATGTGGCACATTCTTTTTAGTGGATTTAGGATATTTTTGGCTTACTTTAAAAAAAAAAAAAAAAGTAATACCATATTGGTGATTACCCAAATTTGACGAAACTATAGGCGACGGATTGGTTGGTTGTATTAAGAATTTTCAACAAAAGCCCACTTCGTCGCAAATTTGTCGCCAAAAGTCTTTTTCTTGTAGTGATGATCATAGCTCTTATCCTCCTTGGTTGAGGATGATTAACCCTTCTAATTGAAGGCGTGGCAAGATTGCTGCAGCAGGTTACTCTAAATACTCCTCTAGAGGTACTCTTGATTACATAGTCTCTCAATAACAGGTAAATTTTGAAAAATATATAATGACAAAAAAATAAAAAGATAAATGGAATATTATCACTTGCACAAGTGCGGACGTTTGCGCATGCCCGAACACTCGGTTGTAAGAGTAATATTGCCACGTTCACCATGTTAACTACGAGTTGTGTTGACCACATCTCTCTGTGTCAGACGATATTAATTGTTTCAACCCCGTTTTCTGCAATCATAATGAGATTCGCTCATTGTTTTAAGTTTAACTGTGTATCGATTCTTGCTGTATATTTTGTCGTGACTTGAGAAAGTTAAGTGTATTGATAAAACTCATGATGACTTCTTATCACAATAACAAACCGGAACTCGTGAACACTTGAATATGAATTTTGAAATGAAATTACAATTATAATTTGCAAAATATTTTTCAAATTTGAGTGAGAAAATATTATGCTTTTCTTGTTGAGAGGAAAGTAATAACACATTAATTAATTAGTTGCATTTTACATACTTGAATCTCAACTATTTGGTTACCAAATAATGTTAAACAATAAAAGGATTTTGAAATTTGAATTCAGGCATTGATATGGAAACATTCTATATCTACCATATGTAGATTATCCTCCTATAATATTACGATTCCAAAATCTTTACCCATTAATTAGCCCAAACAAAAAATCTTTACACAGAAGGAAAAAAAGTTGCAGATCTTTTCCTTATTTTCTTTATTTGTTAATCTTGATCCAAGCAGTTAACTCAACTCATAACATCTTAGTCCAAATTAGAAGATGTTAATTTGTCCCTTAATTTCTAATTAGCATCCTCACCTTAGTCATCACATTCATTCATGTTGAGTCGATTCAAGCATTTCATGCTTTGGCATTTGGATGCATTGCCAGTTTGCCACCAACTTTATCAGAGTGGTGCAATCTGATTTGAAGCTAGACATTTCAGTCCTTTGAGAAATCCAGAGAGGAGAAAACGACGAATTCGAACCACCCTCATGGCCACCTCTTCCCATTTTCATCTTCCTCACACTCGTCCATTTCTCACCACCAAACCCTAAGTAACCCCTCAGCACAAAGACAAAGCCTGTAGAAATTCTAGAGCACAGAAGAAAAAAAATTTACCAGGCACTTACAGATGGTGAAAACCTTGTTTATATATCTGCGTGTCTAGTCTCCCTGGCTTTGCAACATATTTATTTTGAGAGGAAGAAAATAAGGAAGGTTGTTTCTCTGATTACATTACCAATTCCTGAGAAGCTACAGAGATCAACCCTTTTCTTCTGCTCTCCCCATTTCATCAATCTGCTCATTGAGATCTCCAAAAACTCTGAAAATCCAATTCTTGCTTTGTCAATTCAACGAGATGTCGTACAACAATGCTAATGCTGCTTCGTGGTTATATATTCCAATTTTATCAAACTTGTTCTACACCACCGTCAAGGATGATGAAGAAGGTGGACAAGATTCTCAGCACCGCCAACCCACGGCTGTTTCTGTGGTCAGTCCTATATGACGCCAACACTTTGTTTTTTTTCTCATACAACCTTTGCATGTACGCCTTGTATTTTTGTGTATCTCTAAATTAATTATTTTATTTAATAATTTCGTCACCAGGTTGTTCAAGAGATCAAGCAGCTATACACCATAGCCCTGCCAATGATCCTGGCGGGCCTTCTGGTGTACGCGAAAGCGGCGATTTCGATGTTCTTCTTGGGCGGATTAGGTAAGGGGGCATTAGCAGGAGGCAGCCTAGCAATCAGTGTGGCCAACATCAGCGGCTACTCCGTCCTCTCCGGCCTCGCTTCTGGCATGGAAGGCATCTCCTCCCAAGCCTTTGGAGCCCAACAATGGCCTCTCATGTCACACACCCTCCAGCGCACAGTCACCATCCTCATCCTCATCTCCATCCCCATCTCCATCATGTGGCTCAACTGTGAGTCCTTCCTTCTCTTCTCAGGCCAAAACCCAACAATCTCCTCCACAGCCACAACCTACCTCACCTTCACAATCCCAACTCTCTTCTTCCAGTCCCTCATAAATCCCCTTAAAATCCACCTCAGAACCCAACAGGTCACCCTCCCTTTAATGCTCAGCGCCGCGCTGGCCCTCGCCATTCACGCGCCCGCCAACTACCTCCTGG